AACCTAAAAATGGAAACAAATTGGTCACTAACTCTTTTCTCTGTTGGAATTTGAAAGTTTGCTAGGCTGGTTTATATTGGATAGAACTGCCTTTAATTCAAGGAGACAACACTCATTCCTTGTTGAGTGCATGTCCTCAGGCTGTTGGTTTTGGCTAGTCAGTTCCTCTTGTCTGTCCTTGATTCCAAAACTATTCAGATGTTTCTGATCAACTCTGGTGTTTGTCATATAGTATTTCCAGTAGATTCAAGTACTAAGCACTATATTCCCTATAAAATAGATTGTGCCTCCACCTATTTGACTAAGGAATTATAGTTCAGCTGGATAATGATTTCACTGTAGAAATTTTAGGTACAGTATGTCAAATTTCTAACATTCAGAGAAGATTCAGACTTATAAACAGTACTGCCTCACCTGCCAAGGAGCTAGGATAGCCATGTTAGTGGACATTTTATTTTTGTACCGAGTAACAAGTACACCTTTGTGGTAGGCAAACTCTAAAAGGGTCCCCATACCCAACGTCAGTTGGCAGTATTTACAACCTCATATAATTCCCTCCTCATGAGTGTAGGCTGGATATACTGACTTGTTTCAAACAAGTCTATTGAAGAGAATATGGCAGAAGTGATGGAATGTGACTTCAAAGAATAGGGCACAGAAAGACGGTGCCTTCAATCCTGAGTGTCACATTGTGAGGCAGCCCTGTGGTGAAGCCTATGGCAAGGACTGAGGCCTAACAATCACCTGAGTAAGTGATTAAGCAGGTAAGCAGAATGAGTAAGCTTGGAAGCAGAATCACATGCACATGGAGTGGATAAGACAGCCTACAGACGGCTTGATTGCTATCAAATGAAAGACCTTGAGCCAAAGGAACTAGGCTAGGCTGTGCCTACATTTCTGTCTTACCAAAACTGTGAAGTAATAAATGTTTGTTATTTAAAGTCATTACATTTGTGGGTAATTTGTTCTGCAGAAAACATAGTACAACACAAAATACAACATTCAGCTTAATAATAATAAATCACGGTTATTTATCCATTCATTTATTTAGTCAACATTCAGTAAATGTCCCCTTTCTTTCAAGACTGCACTAGCCTCTGGGAAGACATCAGTTGGGTTGGGTAGCATCCCATAGAACACAACACAAAGGTATATAAATCAGACTGTAGGAAAAGGGTGGGCAGGCAAAGCTATCTAGGAAAAATGGCATCATGTGTGAAGGCTCTGGGGATCAGAAACTAATATCAAATTTGAGAAACTGAAAGCAGAGTTGGCCCATAGAATGCACAGTATGGACAATGCAAAGTTATTTGGCAAGGGTACTAGTTATGAAAACAGACTTTGGTATCACATGAATTCAAGTTCATTTCCACGTCCTTGTTCTGCCTCTTCACAGCAATGCTAATAAGGACAATTTAGACACTCCCTTGTGCATCGGTTCTCTCAGATGGAAAATAAAGGTAATAGTAACTATTTAAGAAGGCTGTTAAAAGCATATGCTATGGTACCTAGTGCAAAAGAGATGCTGCAAACTGCTGGCTATTAGTATTGCTGTTTTTGTTATTTTTCTTAGTAGAATTAGTACTGTGAGAGATCTTATAAGACATGGCAAGGCATTTTCATATTAATTTAGAAGCAAAAGAGAAACAAGAACAAGAAACAGATATGAGTAGGGAATAACCTGGTGAGATACACAATTCATAAGCATCATTCTAACAGCCACATAAACAATGGATGTGAGAAGGGCAAGACTGGAGGCTGGACGTCAGTTGGCAGACTGCTGTGATAATCCAGACAATAGCTATGGTGAAAAAGACAAAAGGACATATTTGATGGATATTGAGGGCTAGAGTTAATAAGTTTTGGAATTCAATTTGTTTTGGGAGTAAAATATAGAATGGGTCAGAGAGTTTACTGGGTTCAGGGAACTAGGTAATAATACACATTTTTAGATACCAAAACCTTAGCAAATGGAGGGCTGACTGGAACAAGAGTTTGTGAATGTGAAATATTACTAACATTTAAGGTTGATAATCTGAGGAACTTATGATTGAATTTACAGACCTGAAGCACAGGATAGTGAATAATCAACACAGGACAGAGAGTAATTCTGTCCCTAGCATAATATTTAATTGTAAGTAATAATAATAATTTTGTCTCTTGGATATGAAGCCATCAGCAGGTTTTTTTTAGAGAAAACCACTTACCTATGTACAATAACCTAAAATTTATGAACAGAATCCTGCAAAAGAAACTGAGGAAGTCAAAAACAAAATCCATGGGATGAAATTCCTTATAAAATAAAGTATTAGATAAGAGAATCAAGTGCTGCAATAAATCAAGGTAAGGACTCACAGTCTGTGGACTGCTCATAGAAAGGCCACTGAGGACCTTGCTGGGAGCAGTTCCTGTGGAAGGCTGGGTAGAAGTCAGGCTGCAGAGGATTAAGGAATGAGAAGGTAAGTTATTCTATAGAAATTGGCCACAGGATAACCTTGGGTTAAGACAGGATTTTTTGTTTGTTTTCATTAGTGGAAGGAACTTGAATATGTTAGAATGTTGATGGGAGTGGGGAAGAGGATGGGAGGGGAACCAGCACTCAGAAGAGGAAACAGTCTTATGAGAGGATGGCTACAGATGCAAGACTCTTTAGAGGTTTGGTACAAGGAAGACAGGATGTTCCCATATGGGAGTATAAAACTATACTCTGAAATTGGAGACAAGACTATGTCTAAGAGTGGAAGTAGACAGAGTATGGTTGAACCAGTGGTTCTCAACTGAAGGATGATTTTGGCCATCCTCTGGAGGTATTTTTGCTGCTATTACTAGGGGTTAGGCTAAAATTGGCATCTAGTGTGTAGAGGCCAAGAATGCTGTAAAACAGTATACCATGCACAGGACAGGCCCTGACAATAAAGAAGGACCTGGCTCAAAATTTCAATAGTGCCATGGTTAAGACCCCCTTAGTTGGACAGTGGAGGAGAATAGAAAAAGTTTAAAATATCTGTTGAGGAGAATGGGGAGATGACTAAGAAATCATGATATGGTTGCTTAAAAGCATTTGGTGCCCACTTGAGAATGGAGATCAGTATCTGCTTTGTTGTATAATTTTCTCCAGCAGTATTAAGATTGAGTAAAGATTTAGAGAAGTAAAAAGTTACACTAAGAGTTCTGTGACGTGGATAAATTCAAAGGACATGGGAATTAAAGAAAGGAGTAGAAGATCCATGATCCACTGAGGTTATGGATTGTGGAATCTAAGCTAGGGAAAGGAGGGTATAAAACAAAAGGTAACTGGAAAGAGAGGATAAAGATAAGGGGCCTGGAGTTCCCTATAAAACTGAAATATGTGCCCTAGGAATAATCTAGTACAAGACATGAAAGGATAGACTACTGTGGTCAGAAGTTAAAGAATAGCTTTAGGATTTATTTTTCAGTAAAAATGATGGCAATATCTGTCTGGGCCCAAAGGCTAAGTAAATGAAGTGCGCTAAAAACACAGGTCACTGGAAATGAGAAGGATGAGGACCTAAGAGGCCAGGATGATGAATAAATCACACAGGGCCAGTATGTACCATTGTATGTATCCCTAAATGCCATGTCATTTCATCACTAAGCATATATAGGAAAGGAAATGGCAAAAAGTGAATTATTATAGTAAGTGTAACCAAAAGACCCCTTGTGGACTCTAATATGAGAAGACCAACCAAGGAATTGGTTACAGTGAATTCAACAGCTGGGTGCTTAATACTATAAAAACCCAGCTATCTAAACCTAAGGTTGGTTGATAGCCAGAGCTCCAATAATATGCTTTCAGGGTTCTGTCTTACTGGTTTCTACACTGACAGGATAAAGAGTGAATGGGATTATCCAACAGTAAAAAACTGTTTTAGGCAAAAGGGTGCTTCAGTGGGTTAGGCAGTAGGAAGTTATCTACAGTTAAATGCTCTGCAGGATGCAGCAGTGCATTTAGAGCATGGAATTTAGGAATATATTTTTAACAGGTGGCCTTGAGATAGAAAGCAGAGAACGAGGTGCTAAAATTTCCAAGGATGGAGGGGAAATGCCCAGGAATTTTTATGCTTTTATCAATAGACAGAAGCAACTTAGAAGAGTAGATTGCAATAATATGAGACAGCTGAAATGGTTGTCATCTTTGAGCTTTGGGTTGTAACAAATACTACTGGTAGAATTTAGCATTGACTGCCATCAAAGCCATCTGGAGGAGCTCGTTACAAAACTCAGATTTCAGAACTTCTTCCAGGCTATGGTTCACTAAATTTTTAGATAATCCAGGAATCTACATTTTTAACAATTCTTGTATTCTAGACAGGATGAAAGTGCGGGAACTAGTACTATCTACCTACTTAATATCATACCTCTGCCTCAACTCATCATCAAAAGTTAATCATTATACTTCAAATTCTTCAAAAGCATACTACATGCCAGATGCTTCTCTAAGCACTTTTTCTCTTATCCAACCCTCCCAACCACTTTATAATGTAGATATTATTAACATTTTCAATACAAGATGAGGAAATTAGGCACTAAAGCTGACATCCGAGCACATGAAGTCTGAAAATAGAAAGAGCCTGTTCTCTTTCTAACTGTGCTATCATGATAAAATCACCTAATTAAAATGAACTATTTCCTCTTGCTTTTAACCAGAATTTTATCACATATATTGCTAAAAAATCACCACATATTCATCATAAGCTCTCATTGGTGGTTATATATTTTAATGAAAAGAAGGAAATTAATTCAAATTTAATAAAATCAGTTTGGCAAGCAAGACATTTCAAAACACAAAGTTGTCTTAAAAATAAAAAATGGAAGTCCTTAGTGGGAAAAGTTGTAAATAACTGCTATAGACCTCCTCACATGTATTACTGTTTCTTCCATTTCCTTAGGAATTTAAGTAGGCAGTTGACCAGTTCAAATAATAAGGGTGTGGTGGGGGAAGGAATATACATTGTGAAACTCAGTTTGTGAATACTTACATTCAGTTCATTTTTTAACATTTCTTCAAGACGATAGCCTACATGTTCTTCATCTTCTTTTGTGTTCATAACTAAGCAAATCTGTTGTGAAACTCTTTCTGAGATAGAAACAGAAGAAAAAAAAATGTTATGAAATAGGAAACAAAAGCCATGCTGAAATCCACACTGCCCTGCTGCTCCTAACTGTTGAGCGAGAACAGGGACTTGGATGACACACTGAGATGTCCTTGATTCTTGTCACCACCCAAGTTAATAACTATGTATTTCACACATTGTGGGTGGCTAACCAGGACACTGTGTAAGCCACAGAAATAAGAGATTGTGGGGTACACTGAAAGGGAGTAACTGGAGGCAATAGCTATTTGGCTTGCCAATTCAATCCTTCTACCTTTATAAGGAGTCTCCAGGAATCTGAACGGATCCCACCTCCCAGGCAGATCTCGAGGCTGCAGTGGCTCCTCTGTACAGCTCTCCTCTGTGACACCTAGTGCCCTAGCTAAGTACAGCTTTTCCCTTGCATTCCTCAAGATTCAATTTAATTGAAGTTAAGTTCCTGACTGTTTAACTGTCACCATACCAAGTGAAAATCTGTTTTCCTCAAATTTTGAAGATTTATTTGACGTGATCTGGTGTAGAACAAGGTATATGGCATAGTGATATTCGCTTTTATAAATACTGGATGCACTTCCCCAAAGATGTGCAGTCCTCTACAGGAGACAGGCAGGTCTGAAATACTAAGAAAAGGCTATATTGCTGCTGGGTAGGTAAACATTGCATAGTATTAGGTCATAGACACAGGAAAACAGGGCATAATTTTACAAAGGGATCCCAAATCAAAAGTTAGCTTAATTAACTTTTGACCCAGCTGCTTCTAATGTGGGCAACTCTATATAATATGCTCTACATAAATATTGACCCAGCAATAGTTAATGATTCTTCCAAGCAAAGCAGCGGAGGATAGACCATTTAAAGTAACAGCACCAATTAACAGAACTACTACTACTGCCTACCTCTCACTTATCAAAAGCGTTACATATGCCAGGAGCAGTGTGCTATGTTAATGCCAATAATCTTGACCTTGCAAAATATTACACTGATTCTATGTAACAGATTCTTGAAACCTGACTTCACAGAAATGAAGTAATTTCCCAAGATGACAGGGATATGAGTAGTAGCACAAGGATTCAAATCCAAAGAAATTAGGCTTACAAACACACAGCTATTCTACACACTAAAATGAAGAGAAGAAAAAGACACCTAACATTTACTGGACATAAACTATTTTCATATGAAAGGCTCTAATGCTTTTACAGTTGTTAGTTCATTTAATGCCTCAAAATACCCATGTAGAAATGTAGGTATTATAGTTCCTTTTTTATTCATAAAGGTGTTTAAATCTATGTCTTTCCAAAGCTCATGAAAGCCATTTCTATCATGTTGCCTATCTTGTATTAACTTCTGTAAAAGAATGTGACGCATTCTTCACTTTCAGGCACTCTACAAATTCAAGAAAATTAAATTTAAACATAGTAAGTCAAATGGATTGAGAAGGCACCTCTATTCTGCATATAAATCTGCTATACCTAGCTATATTATCTTAAAATCATTTCATCTCTTTAGGGCTCTGTTCACTCATCTGTGAGTTATGAAATGTCTACAATTTTAAGTAACATGATCCTGATAAAATCATATATAATTTAGAACATAAATGAATGCTCCAGAGAGTAAGTACTATGAAACATCATTGTTTTAAGAAATATAAAGTGGTTGGCAATTCCAGATAAATCTTTATAATAAAAATAAGCAGGAGTACAGTCTCGAAAGGTGAACAGGTTTTGCTTAGGAACAGTGAAAAGGGCTTTGAAAGTAATTAAGAGGGATAAGAGAATTTTTCTTTCATGTACTGAGGTAGGAAGAGTTTGGGCATAAACTTAGTCTGTGTAACAAGAGACAAGTAAGTATTCAAAAGCCTTCAAATGATTTAGCAGCACACTATAAAGTGGGGCATTCAGTGAAACCAAATCATGGAGGTCCCATGTTGTCTTGGATGCTATATTGTCCTGAAAGTTTTAGATCAGAAGATAACTATCATACAAGCAGTGAGTTAAAAACAAAGTTAACCTAAATTTATGCATTATGAAATTAAATGTTTAGAGAAGTCTGACTTTGTAATGTAATAGCAAAAATCCAGACAGTTGTTTTTGAATGCTTCTCACAAAATACACAAATTACATAAAAAATATTTAATGTGTAAATACAAAGTAATCTATTACATATAAAAATATGATGGCACCTAATGATTTTGGCAAATTTATAAAATAGTGCACAAAGTAATTTTTTTGAGACAAAACAACATATGTAAATAGTCCCTTCCTTGTTTAATTATCTATACTTTGAAGAATTCTAAGATCAAATGTCAATCAATAGTAAAATAAAAATTTACTTACTATTTCCCTCCAAAAACAAAATGTAAATAAAACAAAGTAATTCAAAATCTGTTTGGTATTTATCTTATGCCATGTTTCAGCTATTCTAAACAGAAAACTTTTTTTGTTGTTTGGGAATCTTTGCATTGCCATATAATTTTTTATATCAATTTTCACAAAAGTTTCTACTGAGATTTGGACAGAAACGACATTTTTAAAATAACAAGCCTTCTAGTCGTACACATGATATATTCCCGTTTACTGAAGTATTCCTTAATTTCTCTCCGTAATGTTTTGTAGTTTCCAGTGTAGAGTCCTTTTGCAGTTTTTGTTATATTTATTCCGAAGTAACTGTCAATGCAATCATAAAATGGTATTTTTTATTTTGTTTTCTATTTATTGATATATAACAGTACATTTTTAAATGGTCCTTCTATTCAATGACCTTGCTAAATTCACTTATAAACTCTGTAAATCATTTCAATTCTTTATATATACACACATGTTAATTGTGCATAATAAAATGTTATTTCCTTCTAACCAAAATTATAATTTTATAATCTGATCAAGCAAATTATATATTTCATGTAAGGTCCTTATCAGATTTTCTCTAAACAGATATACTGTCTTCATATAATAAATTGGGAAGTGTTCTCTCTTTTGCTACTTTCTAGATAAATATTCAAGACTGATGTTAATTCTTCTTTCAAATAGTTTTATAGAATTCCCTGGTAAAATCTAACTGCTTTGTGGTAGGATATTTAATTATATTCAATATCTTAAATGGATAAATAACTTTTCATAGCTGTACTTTCCTATGAATGTGTTCATTTCACCTTAATTTTCAAGTCTATTGTCAAAAAGTTTTCTATGGACTGAATATTTATATTCCCCCCACACTCTCGTTAAAACTCTAACCCCAATGTAATGGTATTAGGTAAATACCCAATAAATATTGACAGAACAGCCGTTGTTGTTATGGTCATATACGTTCAATAAAGTCATTCAAAGTCTAGACTAGGTTCAAAATCATCAGTTCGTTAATTCAATGGTTTTCAGCTCCTGTTACACATCAGAATCAACTGTGAGTAACTTCTTGTTTTGTTTTTGTATTTTTCAAATATATTTTCTTACAACCAACCAACAAGACTCTCTCCTGTATTTTTTAAAGCTTCAAAAGTGATTCTTATGTTCAGCCAGATTGAAAACTACATTGAGCTGATGATTTTCTACAATGGTGGGTTTAAAAACTATTTATTTCCTTAAAAAATATACAAAATTAGGTATTATAGCTGATTTAGTTCTCTGAAATGGTATAACTTTTCTGAGTGTATCTATTTTGGTAATTTTTCAGTTTTTTCTAATCTTCTCCATACTGTGGCAATTGGAGGTTAGTGAGTTCAGGGAGAAAGAAGTACTGAATTCTTCATTTCTCTTTGATATTTCTGGTGTAAAGATGTTAGAGAAACCCAAATTTTCCCAATTTCTACTCTGATCTCACTAGAGTTTGCAATTCAGATATTTCTTGACTAAAATTTTAAAGGAAATATAAGAAAAAAATGCAATGTTCATCAATTGTAGATGTAAGGCACTTCTTGGGAATTCAGTAATATTTGTTAAATTATTGAGGCAAATGCAATTTTTAAAAAATATACACAAATTCAATATATGAACAAATTCTAAAAACAGTATATTAATACTTTGACAGTATTTTATATTTATGAAATGAGAAAGTAAAAACTTCTATGTAAAGCCTAACTTTCTATAAGGGCTTTATAAATAGAGCTAAAAAAATGGAGACTTGGGCAAAATAAAAGACTGTACATTATGGGATTTTAATGAGTATTAAATGAATTAACATGTATGAAGTTATATGTAATATCTGGTGCAAGTAAATACCCAACAAATGTTGACAGAACAGTTGTTGTTGTTATGGTCATATACATTCAATAAAAATATAAATTAAGATTCCTTTTGTCTATTCAAAAATATGACTAATCTCTAAATTCAAACAGTCCCTTGGGGTCTTAATATTTCAGAATTTGTCATATAATACAAATCAACCTGGTCCCACTAAGCCTAGTTTTCAAATTTCAAAATTTCACCAAATGTGCAGTAGTTGTATATAATAATGGAATACACATCTTGAGAGATACATAGTCCTATGATTTCATCCATGAACTCCTTTAAAACTAAAATGGATACCTCCTAGTTGTGATCATTCATGCCTTAGATTGTCCATTTAGGCTGAAACATCTTATGTGATTTCTATTAATTCCACAAACAGGCACTGGCAATCTTCACTGGTAATGTTAATGTACTTAGGAATTTCACCAGAAAAAGACAACAGAATGACTACACTTATGCCATGGAGGGGCAAAGCCAAAATGAAAAAGAATGTAGTTATCGGAGTAGGGGTCAAATAAATTGAACCTTCTCAATTCCAATTATTCTAGGGCCCCCCAACTCACAGAGAGGGGGAAAATTATTTAACACATTTAAAATTCAATTTTTTCAAGAAGCATGAAATTCTTTCCTAGTATGATTAATCCTTATTATTTCTCAAAAGAAAATATTTAACAACTTCCTTGAGGTTAATGATGAAATCAAAATATAAATAAGAGCCTTTGGAATTCTTAATCTGCTGTTTTAACTACGAATAAAGCACTTCT